TCCAGTGGACCTCATGGCTGCAAAATACGACAGAGTCGCTACCAAGGTGCCCCAGTTTTCCTTCACCAGATTGGCCGGTGCCGATCCATTTTTGGGTGTGGAGATGGCCTCTACCGGTGAAATTGCCTGCTTTGGCCATGACCTTCTTGAAGCCTACTGGACCTCCATTCAGTCCACCATGAACTTCAAGGTTCCTTTCCCCGGAAGCGGTATTTTGTTCGGCGGTGATTTGACCAACGACAAATTGGGCAAGGTTGCCCAGACCGTTTCGGGCTTGGGCTACAACTTCTTTTCTGCTTCCCACGATGTGGCCCAGTATTTGGCCCAGTACGTCCTGGAACCAGTTGAGGTGATTGACTTCCCAAAGACAGACAAAAGAGCATTGAGAGAAATCTTTGCCGATAAGCAAATCAGCGCTGTGTTCAACTTGGCCCGTGCCCGTGCCGAGGACTTGTTGGACCAGGACTACGTGATGAGAAGAAACGCCATTGACTTTGCCATTCCGTTGTTCAACGAGCCCAACACGTCGTTGTTGTTTGCCCAGTGCTTGAAGGCCAAGATCGCCGACAAGTCCAAGTTCGAGACGGTGCCAAAGGCGGTGGAGATCCCTCAGGAGGTCAAGAGATGGAGCGAGTTCCTTGGAGGAAAGCCCGTGTAATACATAGAATAAACTGCATTAGAATACTAAGTCAAGTCCTCGTCGTCCTGGTCGACCACGGAGTTCTTGATCTTCAACAACAACTGCGTCTTCAACTTGTCCAACTTGGAGAACTGGTCGTACTCGTACACCTTGTCGGAGAAGCTCTGGATGTCGCCGTTTTCAATGGCGCCAAAGATGTCCTGGACAAGGTTGTACTCTCGCGTGGAAGGCCAGCTGGGCTCTTCTTCGGCGTAGCCCTCGGATCTCTTCTGGGCCTCCACAATGTCGTCCGCACACAAGGTGCACAAGATGTTCTTCAAGAAGTAGTCCTTCAAGTTCCACTTGGTCAACTGGTTGCCCAACGAGTTCTTGATCACGGTGTCGTAGTGCTCGCGGGCCTTCAAGTAGTTGCCCAGCAGGGCGTTGAGGTCGGCACATTTGAGGTAGGCCTTGTTGGAGAGGGAGGGAGCATGGTCTGTGGAGAAGTAGTCGCCGGCCTTTTCGTAGCTCTCCAGCGCGTTGGCCACGTCATCAATCTGCTCGTACAACTCGGCCAAGTCCATCTGGAAGTTGGCGGCTCTTCTGAACTGGCCGTTCTGGGTCAAGAAGATGTGGATGGCCTGTTTCAAGGCGTCTATGGCGTCGGAGGGAGAAACCAGCTTAAAACACTTGTAGGCCTCCACCAAGTGGTTGGCCACGTCGTTCTGGTTGTCGAGCTGCTTCTGGAGCTCAGCAGCCTTGACAAATTGCAGCCCAGCACTGCTAAAGTCCTTGTTCAATCTGTATGAGTTGGCTGCCTGGACACGGAGGTCAGTGGCCTCTTCTAAACGGTAGGAGTTTCCGCCGGAGAAGAACAGCATGAGCCCGCTCTGGGGCTTGGCGAGCTTCTCGGCCTGTGCAACTAGGGAGCGTGGATCCAGCATGATAAGAGGAGTGTAGTAGGTGAGATACTTATCGGTGTGATAAGTGCAGGCGGAGTGGGAGGGAGGAAGTATGTTTGGGGGTGTTGGATTGGAGATGGTTTGGGGATGGTTTGGGGATTTTCGGTTGGGGAGATTTCGTTATGAGGAGTATTTTGGCGATTTCTGTGGTTTTAGTTTGAGTGGGTGAAAGGTGGTAGTATGGTGGAGGGTGGTGTTTCTGCTGTTTCGCACCCAAGACATGGAGCAATGGTGGTATGTGGTGGCAATATGATTGTGGGAAAATGAGAGTGTTTTTTATTTTGTCGATTTGAGGCTTCTCTCGCCCCTTTCTATTAAATGGATATTTGGTGGATTTATACTGAAATGGTGAGGCAAACCATGTGGTACATGTAGCATTTGATTCAAGAACAGTGGCTGCGAAATCGAGGGTAGGTGAGGATGGAGGGTGGCAATTGGATTTCAGATCAACCTATGTTTGCTGTGATTCATGAGATGATTATGGTCGCCTTGATGCTATTGAACTCAACGTATCACGTTTTGAATTAATTGGGAGAAGTGTTTGTTTGGATGCAATGCAGTGTAGCCTAGGTGGTAATATACTCTGGACTCAACAAAGCCATGAGGCGGGTTATAGAAATGGCATATTTTTCGAATTCATAGAAGAACGTAATTTCTAAATGGTAAGAATTTGAAATCAGTAGATCTTAAATAAAACAGATCTCGATCTAGCCATACTATCCACTATCGCGATTGAGTACCCTTACTCATACCCTTAAGTGCCTATAACTACCATTCCCCAAAACCAAAAAATCTCAAGAAACAAGCCTCAAACTATCATTCACTTCAAACCATCAAAAACATCTAAAAGAACTTTTTTCCAGAAACTCGGTCCAGTCCAACCTCCACCATCTCATCCTCTATACCTCTACACACTCGCGCATAAACAAACATCAACAAACACCATGCTGTACGAAAAAGTCCGCTTCGACCGCCTACGAAGGGTCACTGAAAAGGCCGTGGAGCAAACCGTCAAAAAGCTGCTTCAGCAAGAGCAGATTGAAAAATGTTTCCCTACAATCAGCGAGATGAAAGGTGGAAAGTCCGCCTTGGAGACCGCCAGAAAGCAGATCCTACAATACTTCCAACTGACGCTGGAGAAGCAGTTTCAGTATATATTCGAGCAAAACGACATTGAAAGGAAGCTCGACGAGCTTGACGAGATAATCCAGGCGGCTCAGGCAAGAAGGGATCTGGGTACTGAAGAACCGCTTTTCATAGATAAACTCACGCCTCAACAGCTTATAGATGCCAGAGTTGGAGCGTCTAAGGCGGAGACAGTGACCAAATTAAAGTTGATTTATGAACAGCTTCTTCTAGATAACAAGCAGCTTCACGAGGAAATCGTCGGACTTGTTGAGGAAGGGTCTACAATCAAGGACGATTTGCTTCTGCAAGTGGACGCTTTGGCCAGCGGGGTTGATGAGATAAAGAAGGCGGAGTTTGACCATAATTACGACAGGTTGATCGAAAGGGTGCTCAGATGAGTGAGGTGGGAGTCAATTCGGTCATAAATTGGCATAGACCCCTCTCTGCTTATCTCGACCGGGAATCAAGGCCACAAAAGGTGCCTTCTAATCCCCTCTAATTAATGAATTTACGGCAAATCTACAAACCATTTACCATTACTGATGTATGCGTTGATGCTATGTACATGTTTAGGATGCCTGTCCGTAGAGGATGTCGTAGTTCTTCTTGGCCAACTTGTTGTAGTCGGCAACTCTCTTCTCCAAATCGCCAAGCTGCTCCTGCTTCTTTTTGGTCTTCTCCGACTTCTTCACCAACTCACGGTCGCCCCACACCTTGTAGTCCTCGAAGTACTGGTATCCCATACTGAACTCTCTGGTGATCACATCGTCAGTCAAGCCCAACTTGGCGAGTGTGTAGTAGTATCTCTCGGGATCCACGCGCTTCAAGTATTTTAGTATTCTCTGTCTCTGGTTCACGAGGTGACGAATAGCTTCTGTGTGGGAGTGGTCCTTCTTGTTAGCCTTGAGGTGGTTGAAGTTGAGGTGGATCTTGGCGGTCATTACGGCAGCCTGGACTTCGGGAGAGCCGCTGTCGCCCTCGTATCTCTGGAACTCCTTACGGGCGAATTCCACCGCCATCTTCTTTTTGTCCTGAGCACTGGTGTTTCTCAAGTTCAAGATGGTCAACACAGCGTTTCTCTTCTTCTCCTCGTTGGCAGCCACAGACTCAGGGAACATGTCACCGGCAAGGTTAGAGTCAGTAGCAGCCTTCTGGGCTCCGTAGAACAACTTCTCGACTTCTTCTCTCTTGAAGCCTTGGGCCAAGTTCAAAGGCTCATTGAGCTCACGGCGTAATCTGGTAATAAATGGCACATTGTTGGCGCCAAGAACGGGGTCGACCTCAAAAGGCGCAAACTTGATCTTTTGTTTCTTCAAATTGTTCACATCTCTGATAATCTGACGTTTCAAACGGAACTCTCTTCTTCTGAGTGCTCTTCTCTTGGACCTTCCAGCATCCTCGGGTATGAACTGCTTTGCAGCCAAGTACGGCTGGAGCTTGGGAGCCTCCTGGAACTGGCGAGCCAGAAGCCCTAGAAAACGGACCGCAGAGCGAAACATGGCTAGTTCAAGGGTGTGGATGGAAACTGATCTTGGTACGAAAATTTTGTAAGTGTGAGCACTATGCGTGCACGTGACCACAAGTTGGATTTTGTTGATGTTGTTTTTAAGGAAGTGAAGGGTGGTTTTGGAGAAGGCTATAGGGTGAATTTGAAATGAATATGAATTTGATTGGGTATTCTGGGTTATTTATGTATTTTTAAGAGAAAAGACTTCTCATTAGGCGTATCAGCTACATAGGTACATGAGTACTTCACCAGACTATGCTAGCATTTGAACTCAAGTCTTTTGGATACCACTTCGGAATAGACCCAAAGATTCAGGAAACTTCTTCCTCTAGGACCTTTCCTAGCTGAAATCTTCGTTGAATCGACCACAGAATAAGCGTGGTGTACGGGTGTGGTACATGCCTATACACCTTCCCCAAGATACCATCCATCCCACATAGATCCCAATGTATATATGACAAAGCCCACCTACATAATAGAGCACGGGTTTCGTCGAGTTAGCCCGTACTATCATGATTTCAGCACCACAGTGAAAGCCAGATGGTTCAAAAAACCCATAGCCCATGTCCTCACTACAGAACTAGGACAAGATCGCAAAACGATAGAACAGGGTATTCAAGATGGATCCATTTACGTCGCTACAAACTGCAATAAAGTTGATCTGGGCATGAAACTCCTGCCTGAAGAGACAAGAACACATCTTTTTCGAAATCACGACATTCTTCATGCAACACAGCACATTCACGAACCACCCATTCTATATAAGGGACCAATTGAGGTGGTCATGGAAAACGAGGATATTGTTGCTGTTTCCAAGCCTCTGGGTATGCCAACGCATCCCAGCGGAGCATATCGCTGGAACTCTCTTACTAGCATATTGAGAGAGGAGCATGGATATCAGAAGCTTTATCCTTGTCACCGTCTTGATAAAGCTACATCTGGGGTGTTGCTACTTGCCAAAAACGCAGAAACCAGTAGTCGTTTTCAATCGGCATTCAATGACAAGAAGAATACTGATAAGTGGTATTTGGCCAGGGTTGAAGGTAAGTTTCCCTCCGGACCGTTCGTTTTTGATCACCCCGTCTTTTCGCTAAGCTACGGCGGTTACATCAATATCAGAAACACAAGTCAAGTCCCCATCTCCTCAACGGGTTTCGAATTGGTGAAATACTCCAAAGAGCTAGATCAAAGCATTGTGCGATGCAAAGCCATAACAGGTAAGATGCACCAGATCAGAATCCACTTGAGGTGCCTTGGCTTTCCAATCGTAAATGACTATCTATATAATCCTCCCAAGGAGAACTCAAAGGGGCAGTTCAAGCTACAAATCGAGCAAGCATTGCATGAGATGGTGAGGCTGAAATTGAAAGAAACGGGCGATAAGTTCGTGGACTTAGATGCCCTTGTTAATGAACATCCTGAATTGAAAGAGCAGATGGCAGAGCTCAAAAGGCTCAGGGATACCAATCATGATAGGGAATTGAAGGACGTTTGTCCTGAGTGCTCGAAAATACTACTTAGTGACCCAGTCAACGAAGAGATTTACCTTCATGCTCATCGTCTCAGGCACAGAGGGGATATTTCTTTGGACATAACCACGGAAATGCCCGAATGGGCCAATATCTGAGTGCAGATCCTGTTGATACCCATTGATATAGAAACTAAATGGCTGCGAATCGAGCTCTTTGTTCACACATTATTCACGCTAGATTGATGGAGCTGAAATTTCCAGAACCCATCTGTAAATACCACGTCACAATAATGAAATAATTTAAACCCGACTATCTATCGATCACTTTTGTAGACCTGGTTCAAACCATCGGCAGCTCGGTGCACATACAGTACTATCAACAAACCCCATCGGTACCAACTACACCGATAATCCTACTCCACCCACATGGCCCCTGCATCCAAAAAGTCGCTTGTGGCAGTACTTTCTGCTCAGCGACATCGTCCACCTAAAAAGTTCCTGTCGTCCTTGATCACCGATGTTTACGATAAGGTGAAATCTCACACTGACCTCGACAACCTCCAAGAAGCATATCTCCGGATCGTGGCCTGGAAGTTCTTCCACGCCGATGTGACCAACAACCATGTTGAATTGATCCTTGCGATTGTTTTCTATTCTTCAGTGGTTGGCAGGAGCCGGAACCAATGGACTCTTTTGTCCCTGGATAGTGAAAAACTCAATACCTTGCTACAGCGAGTTTTACAGACCACATTGAACGCCTTGGACGAGCTGATCGTGGACCTTGAATACTTGAGCTATCTATTTTTGAGTGTTGTTCTACGCAATGCTCCAGAGTCCTTGTTGAAGCATGAGCTTTTCGATAGATGGTTGGACTCTGTACTAGATAGTTACACGGAACACTTCTTGAGTGGGGAGTTCTCTGTGACAAGCGCTAAAACAGCATCCGCTTTGGTTTATCTTCTTGGTGTTGCACGAGCTGAAAAAGTCGATGCTATTACTGAAGCAGTTGACTCAAAATGCTTCCTTTCAGTTTTTGCCAATTGCGAGGATCCCCAACTCAAACATCTAATTGACATTCAGTCAGACGATCCAAGCTTTTCTCAATTTTCAAAGCTTCAGGAGAAAGCGAGGGATCTAGGGTTTGGCCTTCTAGGAGATTGTCTACTGCCGTATGACCTAAAGAGGTCAGACTTGGTGGAAAGTCTTGTGGACTTGGATATCGAGAAACTTAAGCAACTTGCTACAGTGGCAGGCTACGAAGGTGAAACTGAAGATCTGGACTTTCTTGCAGATGTGATCATTCGCAATGCTGTTCCTCAATTGAAAGAACAATCCATTTCAGAGCTTGAACTTTTTGATTTGTTCAATCACACACCCACGCTCGGTCTACAGATTCCCTCATACTTTGCATCAGACGATCATTTGAAAACCTGGAAAGTTGAATTATTCTCCTCCATCAACCGCCATCTCCATCAGTGTCTCCAGAGACTCAATATCACCAAAGACGGTATCCAAGGAACAAGCAAGTACTACTCGACTGTGGAGAAATCCGAAGACAAGGGCTCGGATTTGGAGCTTTCCTTACTGTCCGGAAAAAAGGATGTTCGTCAGGGCGACTATGTTGTTCTTCTTCACCTTGAAAAACCTGTGAAGCATGAGCATTTCTCCCGAGTGTGCAAGTACGGACTAATCAAAGCTAGACTTGTTGAAGTCAAAGCAGTATCACATAAGACGTTGACTGTGAGTCTTGCAGAGGAGAATCGTCCTTACAACGGACTCATCACAATGCCTTCTCTCCAGAATGTCCGCTTGTTACCTTCACTTGAGAAGTCAAATATTAATTTGTTGAAAAGCAAGACAGCGGAGAGACTCTGGAAGGTTGAAGGCATACACGAAAGCTTCACCACTTCTAATAAAAAGAGGAAGAAGGAAAACGAGAATCTGACGATCATCGAATACAAAGCATCAAAATTTGAGATATTGGATTCAGACAAGAAACTTTCTGAAGACCACTCTCAGGCTCTTCTAGAAATGCTTTCATCCCTGGTATCATACATAAAGTGTCTCCCCCATTCAGGAGGTGATACCTTGGTCAGGACATTCCTCGAGACTATCTACCTCAATCAAGGCGTGTCAGATCGCTGTCTTGTCATTCTTCCAACAAACTTTCATCTTGAAAGGTTTACCATTACAGATCGTTTGCTTCCAGTGACATACAAATGTGGAGACATTCACAGTACTCGTTCTAAGGCAGATGAGCTTCTTCGACATGTTGGTGAACTAGCGAAACACCTCCAACTAGAGGAGTTTGATTTCACGTCCTCCTTGAGGAACGCTATTGTATTCTATGATTCCCAAATCAAACCTCGTTGGGATGAGTATCTCAAGACATTAAAAGAAACCATCCCCTCGGTTTCGAAGTACCCCTTTGCATCGCTTCAGTTTGAGAAGGACACTCCAGTTAAGGAGGCTCTAGATGCTGCCGTGAAGCATTATCATCACATCAAGGATACTTTTGCACAGATTCAGCGTCTACTTCCCTTGGATAAGGCAGACATCGAAAGATACCCGGATGATGCAGAAAAAGCGATAAGTTCGTTGCATCCATTTGTGGTCTGTTCTTCTGATTCAGTTCACCTAGTGGGAAATAACTACAAGCATGTCATCTCCTTCGTTGGAGCAGAGACTGAAGCCGTTGTATCACAGGATACAGAGAAGGTTGTGTTCCTTGGAGAAACAAGTTTACTTAATTTGCAACCCCTGGTATCACTTGAAGAGCTGAACACCGTGAGACCCGAAATTGCCCGTTTGGTGGGAAGACAAACCACAGCTGAACCTTCTTACAATCCCGGATTACAAAAGACCACGATGATGATCAAAGTTCCTTCATCAGAGAAACAGGTCAATGTTGATGAAGCTACATTCATTGTCGGCCTTTATCAGTTCATGCGGCTTTTGGGATATCGCCATGAGGACATAAGTCTTGTGGTGACATCACCCTACATGAAGCTTCTTGTGGAAGAGATACTCGAAGGTAAAGAAGTACGCAAAGGAAGCCGTCCAAACACTTCTTCATTTGAGTTTGGTTGGCCTGTTATCCAGCTTGCATCTGAGCCATTGGCTCCGTCAAAATATGTGCTTTTTTCCACACATGGCGACCTCAGCTTCAAGGATTTCAAGAAAGCCGTTACCAGTTCATCCCTTGGCTTCTATGCTTTTGGTAGCCTTGTTATACCGCCTTTTGACAAACCATCCACTTTGGGCATCTACACTGGTGCCAATCTTCTTGAGAACACCGATGATAGAGAAACCGGTCAGAAGCACCATATCATAGATGATTCCGAACATATGGCAAGTTACGTGGATCAGATATTACAGGCTAAAAAGGCACAAGAAACCCAGAATTCCAGTGCATAAGCTCTTTTTCATGAGTTTTCTGGAGATGACTTTAAAAGACCACCTTGTGACCAGCAATGATTCGTATACGATCTTAAATGGTCGTAAATCATAGCTCACATGCTGCCTGTAAAAGGCCTAAACATAAAGAGCACATGAGCAAATTTTCAACCCACAAAGTCCACCCCTCCTTGATCGCCATACTAATCCACACTTTTACCTCCACAAAACCCCAAAACCGGCACAATTCCTGCAAGGTTCGATACACCAATGTGGCGTAACGCCCTACTTAAGCTACCTTACTTCAGCAATTGCCGCTAGCGCACCATACCTTATAGTGAAGAGCCCCATTGCTTTTGAAATTTATAAACTTTAAGGGTGAGGCTAGAATGTTACACAAACGGAAAAAAAAAATTGACAACGGCGATTGCTTCGTCGGTGCATAATAAGTAAAATGCAACGCTACTTAATTTGCGCCGTTTTGCAACCGTCGGACGAGATGCCGGACGCTTATCAGAAGCATCAAGTACTTATTTGGGAAAAATCCAGATTCTTAAGTGGCTTTGGATCTTGCCTACGTTTGCTAAAAAATTGTCTGATTTGGATGTGCCGATCTAGACTGGCAGTGTACGGCGATTGCAGACAGGATTTTCACTGGTGACAGGCTGTTCCGGCAGTCTCGAAATAGTAAAAAAAAAGTTTGTTTTCTGTCCTCGACGAGGAGCCTTGGGCTCACGTGATGCGCAGCGACATCGCGACATTTTACCGGGTCGGCGGGACTGCCGCCATAATCTGCTGATAAGGGATAAATAGGGGTATCAATGGGAGGGGGAATGTTTGGTTCACGTAGTGAAGCTATTCAATTGCTTTCAAGCCTACTGTGTGTGGAATTGCAGGGGTCGTGCGATTACCAATCCGCTCGCAACCCTGTTGTTTAGGGAATATGTCGCGCTAATCGCCTTATCTTGCTTAAGTAAGCAGAGAAGTTATCTTATCCCACGACAATGTCGCACCACCAACAGCAGAGAGAAAGCCAGGCTCAAAGCAATAAATTAAAAACCGTAGATAACAGTAGTAGGATATTCCAAATCCCCAGCTTATCCTCACGTGACCGAGGAGCCCCTCTCCCTTGGCTGAGGTGGCCGAGACAGAAATGTCGCGCTTGGCTTATCTGATGGATGGAATTTTTTTCAGGCTACACCTGAGACAGAAAAAAAACCTTCAAAACACCACTTCTTTTATCTACTCAACAGTACAAAGTGGCCTCGGATCGAAAAGTCCTCGGATCAGTATCCCTCATTTCGCTGTGACACAACCACCCCCCTCACACGCACTCGTCCTTTTCACGCTGTTTTCGATAAGCGCCAAAGGTCGATAACAAATAAAACACCCCTTCCTCCAAAATTCTCGTTGCAACCAGTCTTCCCCAGATGAGTGAAATCCAGAGATTACCTCAAATGGTGAATCCAAACCCGGTGCATCCCAACGCCAAAACAACAACGCTGATCAACAACGGCACCACCACAACGAAACTGAACATCCTGTCACCCGTTTGTCGCAACTGTAAAACACAAACCACCCCGCTATGGCGCCGTGACGAGACGGGCCAGGTCTTGTGCAACGCGTGTGGCCTCTTTTTGAAGCTCCACGGCCGGCCCAGACCCATCAGCTTGAAAACGGACACCATCAAGCTGAGAAACCGGATCAAGCAGCCCAACTTCCTGAAGAAAAACAGCGCCAACACCCCGGAACTCAAAGCCAAGGAGCTGCGTCCGCCGCTGTCGGGCCTGCTGCTGGCGCTGAGCCTGCTGGTGCCCACGTTGCTGAGCAAAAAACTGCCCAGACAGAGCCGTAAAAGAAGTCCTCCTCCGGATTTCGCCGTGCAGCCTCAGCATCAACAGCAACCTCCACAGCACCAGCAGCACCAGCCTCAGCACCAGCCACAACACCAGCCTCAGCATCACGCCATCCACCATTTGCCTGGTCTTGCTTCCTCGGCTACGGCGGTTCCACTGCCTCTTTCTCACCCTAGGGTTCCTCTGGGCCATGCTCCTTTGCCACACCACTTGCACCACCTTCTGGGCATTTCGTCCCAGGTGCAGCTGTTGCACTATCCTTCGTCGACACCCACCCAGTTTGCTCCGGGATTGCAGAGAATCACCTCTCCGCTTATGCTCAGCACGACGCTTCTGAATGCTCGTTCGGTGTCTTCTACGGGTGCTGCTTCTCCTAAAGGTTCGCTTTCGGCTGCCCAGGCTGCTGGTGCTTTGGAGAACATGCTGAATGTTCTAGGCCCTTCGGCCACTTTCAAGGGTCCTGGTCACGAGAACATGAACGGTGTTTCGCTTATGGGTCCCTCTGCCAAAACGCCAGCCAAGCAAGATTCGAGGATTTTGCCAGGAATTGCTCCTTCCCTGGGCACTTCCACGGGAGCCTCCTCCAACGTCATTGCGTCTCCTTCGTTTGGTCCTCAGTTCCACTTGGACTCGCCCAAAAGAGACCACCTGGGGCTTCCCAAGCCATCCTTGCCTCCTCTTCACCAAACGGTGTCCAGAGGCATGACGCCTACAAATGGCCCTGGCACGCCTGGTCTGGGTCCAACTTCCGGTCCATTGCCCTCGATTCTGAATCTCCATCCTGTCAAGACGGAAGAAATCAGCCATTTGAGCAGCGAACACGCCAAAATTGTTCAAAACTCCTCCGGCGAAAGCCAGCCTTCCCAGGCTCCTCAGCAAAGCCAGCAGTCCGGTGAATCCAGCACGAATTCTAATCCTGAGAAACCCACTCAACAGCAGCAGGGCTCCGGTAATGACGACGGGGACAGGAGCAATAACAACAATAACAACAATAACAATAACCAGAACAGCCATGGTGCTCCTGTGCCAACGTCAGCAGAGGGCGTTGCTTACGAAAACACTCTTTTGAAAACCAGGATCTCCGAGCTCGAACTCGTCAACGACTTGTACAGAACGAGGATCATGGAACTCGAAGCAATGGAGCAAGCCGCTCGTTTAAGGGAATCTTCCATGCGCAGAAGGTTGGACGAGGTGATTGCTTTGCAAAGCCAGAATGCTCATGAGGAGGACGAAAAGAAGGCCAAGCAGGAGCCTTAGATACAAAATGCTAACGTTAGTATAACATGTATAATTATTTAATGACTACCAATGAATGCAAGGTCCAGGAAACAGCTTGAAGGTATGTAATATGCTATGTAGACCCAAAGAGGAAAGAGATAAGATCTTTATCAGTAACTACTTGAACTGTTGATACTGTGGTTGAGATTGCTGTGAAGTTGTCTTATTTTCATAGAAAACGTGCTTCAAACTCCACTATTTTTCACTCAATGCCCTACACTTGGTGATTATTATTATCGGCTGCTGCCGCGTCCATTGGCTACTTACTCCAATGCATGCAATTAGGTCTTCACATCTGGCTGGTCCTTACCCAAGAACTCCTTGAACTTCAACAACTCCAAGATGAAGGAAATGTCCTTAGAGAAGAAGTTGTCAACTGGCTCGGAGTACGTAGATGGGTCAGCAGAGTGCTTCTCCAAGTACAATCTCACCGTGGCTCCAGAGGATCCAGTGCCCGACAAACGCACAATGAAACGCAAGCCGTTGGTGAACTTGATGAACAAACCCTGGTTCTTCGACACAGAGCCGTCCAAGTCAGTGTAGGAGAAGTTGGCGGCTTCCTTGACAGTGTAGCCTGGAGCCAACTCGGATCCCTCCTTCTTTTGCTCGACAATAGAGCCGAGGAGCTCCACAAGCTTGGCAGCACCCTCGCTGGAGACTTCTTCGTAGTCGTATCTGGTAAAGAAAGTTCTGCCGTACTTCTGCCAGAACTTCTCCTGGACGGCCTTGATGCTGGTCTTTTCGTTAGGGTACTTCTGGTTGAAGTCAGCCAAGACGTTCAACCAGGCACAGATGGCCCACAAACCATCCTTCTCTCTGATGTGGTTCGAGCCAGTGCCGAAGGATTCCTCACCACAGATGGACAACTTCTTGGCGTCGAACAAGTTACAGAAGAACTTCCAACCGGTAGGCACCTCGTAGACATTGAGGTTCTTGTCCTTGGCAACCAAGTCCAATGCACCGGAAGTTGGCATGGAGCGAGCCAAGCCGTAAACGCCCTGCTCCTTGAAGTAAGGAATAGCGTCAGCGTACTCTGCGATGATAGCCACAGAGTCACCAGGCGAGACGAAAGCGCCAGCACCGTAGATCATGTTTCTGTCACCGTCACCGTCGGAAGCAGCACCAAAAGCAATGTTCTCGGCGTCAACCTTGCTGACCAAAGTCTCTGCGTAGGTCAAGTTGGGGTCAGGGTGCAAACCGCCAAAGTCAGGCTTAGGCACGAAGTTCTGGACAGAGGTCTCAGGCAAGCCCAATTCCTCGACAAAGATCTTGTGGCCGTAAGGACCGGTGATACCGTTCAAGGCGTCGAAAAGAACCTTGAAACCCTGGGACTCGCCAGCACTGTGGATGAACTTCTTGATGAGAGGGAAGTCAAAGATGTCCTTCATGAGCGCAACGTAAGCACTGGTTGGGTTGATCACCTCAACCTCAATTGGACCGGCCTTGCGGGTGCCTTCGTTCTGGAGGTCAACCTTATCGAGCTTGTAGGTCTTGTACTGGGTGAGAGACTTGGAAATCTCGTAGATCTTGTTGGTGACAGACTCTGGAGCTGGGCCACCGTTTGCCATGTTGTACTTGATACCCAAGTCCTTGTCGGGACCACCTGGGTTGTGAGAGGCGGTCAAAATGATACCACCGGTGGCCTTGGAGATTCTGATGATGTGGGAGGTGGCTGGGGTGGAAAGCAAGCCGTTCTGGCCCACAATGATCTTCTTGACGCCATTGGCAGCAGCAATCTCAATGATGAGCTGCACCACATGGTCATTGTAGTATCTGCCGTCACCGCCCACAACCAAGGTCGCGTCCTGGGCACCCTCTGGGATCGCCTCGAGGATGGCTTGAATGAAGTTCTCGGTGTAGTTCTCCTGCTGGAACACAGTGACCTTCTTTCTGAGGCCGGAGGTTCCGGGCTTCTGGTCAGTGAAGGGCTTCGTTTCTACGACGGAGGACATTTGGAGTTGTTGAAAGTGAAGAAAGTTGCGGTGTTGATGTCGCGCCGGCCAACAGTGCAGGCGAGAGGTGCAGTTTTGTGCAATTTCAAAAAGTGGGAAATGGCGCCCTATTTATGTTCCCCGGTGGGGCAACGCGGGGCACCCCCTTACGGACCTGAAACTCCCGATCCTCTACCCCACCAGTCTCTTAGGATTATAGTTTGTGAATCTTTTAAATGGATTTTGTGTTATTCTCCACAACGTGGTCCATTCCCCTCAGACTCGTATTTGGGTGTCAGGAGACGCATCGTGTAGAGGTGGTGGTGTCATAAATATGGAGATATAGAGAAAATGGCGGAATCGCTTAGAAAGAGTTTTCTGATCGCATTGTTGAAAATGTATAGAGATTTTGTTTTGTGGGGCTCAAGGGTCCGACGCAGGGTGGGGCACATTTCCACACAATGGAAATCTCGGAGCATTGGTTTGAAACCCGAGGAGACTTTTAGTGATTTACAGTTGTTGACGTTTTTTGAGTAGTTTTGGGATAGTAGTAAAAATCATCTGATGGCATTTCCGGGATCTCCTGATTTGGAGGTGATACCCAATTGGACCGATCTCACGCAACCCCGGAATTGGCTGAAAATTGTGAAAAATTGCATGTACCGAGTGAAGGTTATTTCAAATCCCCAGTTAAGGGATATGCTTCTAGAATACCCAAACCTTATGTCTCAATTTGCCTGCGGCACTTGATAATGCACCTCAAACCTTATCGATGTGTCAAACCGGCTTAGCTTTCCTCTTCTTCACTTATCTTACCATCCTCAATTTCTCCATTCTCCATTTCCCCAATATTACAAGCACTTCTCATTTTCGTCGTTACTATGAACAGCTAGGACACCCAGTGACCTATTTCTTGATAACCTGGTTGATGGCGTCAGCCAAGTAGTCAACGTTGTCCTCATTGACACCAGAGATGGAGAAACGACCGTCCTCGGTGGCGTACACAGAGTACTTCTCTCTCAACTCAATCACCTGCTCGGCAGACAAACCGGTGTAGATGAACATACCACGCTGCTTCAACAAGTGGTCCCAGTTGTAGTTGGACTTGTCCAACTTCTGGTACAACTTGTCTCTGATCACGTTCAAACGGCCCACCACAGCGTCCAAGTCCGCCAACCACTCGTTGTACAAGTCCTTGTTGGAGAAGATGGTCTCGACGATTCTGGATCCGTGGATTGGAGGGTTGGAGTAGATTGGTCTGATCAACTTCTTGAGCTGGGACTCCACAGCCTTGGAGTGCTCGGCAGACTCGGTGATGATGGAGATCGAACCGGTTCTCTCACCGTACAAGCCCATGTTCTTGGCGAAAGACTGGCAAAGAGCGTAGGTTGGGATCTTGCCCTGGACAACGAGCTCGTTCAATCTTCTGATCAAGCCAATGTCCTCGTAGGTGTTACCAGAGGCAAAGCCCTGGTAGGCCATGTCCACAAGAGGGAAGAGCTTCTTCTGCTGGATGATCTCCAAAACCTCCTCCCATTCCTGGGGAGTCAAGTCCATACCGGTAGGGTTGTGGCAACAGGCGTGCAACAAAATCACAGACTCCTCAGGAGCAGCGGCAACGGACTTCTTGAGGTTCTCAAAGTCCAAGCCGTTGTTCTCCTTGTCGTAGTAGGCGTAAAAGTCGGCCTTCATGCCAGCGTCGGTGAACACAGCAACGTGGTTAGCCCAGGTTGGCTTAGGAACAATGATCTGGCCCGAGGAGTAGAATCTGTTGAGGAAATCGGCGATAACACGGAGAGAACCGGTACCGGAGATGGTCTGGGCGGTGACAATACGGCCGTCCTTGATCAATTGAGCACCGTTGGTGTCCTTGTCCGAGTTGTTGAAAATGAAGTTCTTGACCGCGTCCTGGTACGTCTTGGAACCGGTGATACCCGTGTACTCCTTGTTGGACTCGTTCTCCAAAAGCACGGTTTCGGCCTTCTTCACCGACGGGAACACAATTGGCTTACCCTTGCCGTCTCTGTAGGCACCGACACCCAAGTTGATTTTTTTGTTGTTGGTGTCCTTGACGAAGGCCTCGCTGATACCGAGGATCTTGTCAGGAGGAGCCAATGGGATTTCGTTCCACTTGGCCAATCTGGCGCAAACAGAAAAGGATCTAGAAGAGCGGAGCATTTTGGTTACCGAGAAATTTGGGGATCTGGGGTGCTTATATACTTGTGCGAAAGCCGATCGGAGAAAATTTTCGGGTGACTCAGACACGCCAGAAGACGCCAGATTTCGGGGAGGAGGGGTAACACGACGCGGGGAGTGCGCCTAGGGCCTTGCTGGTTGTCAATGGCGTTGATTATGGCGGTTTAAACGGTATTTTCGGGTCAGCGGAACTGGCACGTGAGGTCGGTACTGTCCCCCGCGCTGGCCCCGCTAGGCTACCCCTCCTTCCCGTGAACACCCGACTGAATGTCGTTGGATTGTTGGCACTGAACGGTGAAAAAACATGGAAAATCTCGGGCCAATGGCCGCAGATACGAGCCGGTCTCGGCGTTAGTGTGTCCACGAAGCCGTTAACTATGGCAGTTCAAGCCGACCTGCCACTATCAGCCACACCGCGATCGGCCCATTCTCGGCATCTCCAGGGAAACACGTCTACGTGGTGAAAAATTATGAAAAATGTCTCCATAAAGGGAGTTAAGAAAAAGAGACATAGGAAAAGCGAAGAATGCGTGTGGTTTCATTGTTCCAACGGCTCCGCCGTTCTGCTTTTCTGGATTTGCTTCCCTGTCGGGTAGTAACCTCGCTTACGCAGGGAGTGTTATGTCGAAATCGGCCCATCCTGAGAATTATGAAAACTTTATGGAAGTTTTGATTTTGGCGTAGGTGTAAAAAGGTAATTGTTGAAATGAGGCTCTTGTTGGGCCGATGATAGCGGAGATTGCAGCTTGTTTCCTGGTGTGGCTTACCTGCGTCGATATACGAGAATGCGCTACGATTAGTGAAGTGCGCTACCGTTTTGAGTGAAAAAGTGGACCCTCTCTGGGTATTAGG